GGCACCAGCTGCTCTGGTGTCTTGGCTGGAGCAGGCCCTGCCTCTGCCTGGCCCCCTTGGGGGCTGGAGCAGATCCCTGTCTGTGGCAGATGAGGAGTTGCTGTAGCCCTCACTGGTTAACGGTAACTGGGAAGCCTCACGTTGAACATTCATATTCTTACTGTGGTGTGTTGTTTTGGCTGTTTGAAAGCCCATGATGTTTGTATGGGAAGCTGGACTTAGCTGATGACACACCCTATGGTGATGACCACATGCTGTACCCTCCAATATTTCACCCTGAAGGGAAGGGTGAAAACTTTACTCAGGGCTCAACTGTGAGGCACAGCTCCTGGAGGTTGAGTTTAAACAGCCAGAGACCAGAGCTATTGGAAAAAGCATAACATAGGGCTTGAAGATCAGGGATGTTTTGAGGCAGCAATTTGATGTTGAAAGGCCGTAGAACTTGTTCCTATGCACAGGAGTTCAGTGGCTGTATTACTAGGGTTACTTTCTCTGGACTGTGTGCTACACTAACTGTAGCTTCGCTGGGATACACTTGCTTTCAAGTAATGTAATAAAGATTTATGTGACATGAATTTTGTATTAAACACAAAGTATACGTAGGACACTTGTGAAGCATGAAACAAACATCTGTACTATGTGAAATGGAGGGGAGGTGGGAGGTTAGGCATAGCCTGAGAATTGTATAAATGTCCATGGTTCATATGCCACCCTGCTGTCTGATGTGCTGTGGAAGCAGGGCTGCAATTCATCAGTGATAAGCTGCATGCTGACAGGCATTGAGTGCATCAGTAGCCTGTGGAAGTCTGCATGGGTGGAGATTGGGCAAGCAGGTGTGGAATGCAGTGGGTGGCACCTGGGAACAGAAGTGCCCAAATTGTGTTGCTGGGGCTGGGGGAAATTAGCTGTGAAGGGAGAGGTGGTTGTGCAGTTGCACAGTCTTCAGTGGTAGCAGTGCCTCTTGCTTGTTTGTGTTTGTTTGTTTGTTTGCTCCATAATGCTTAGGAGCTGCTGCATGCTCTCCTTCTGTTGCTGAATTTCCATTCCCGCAACTTTGTTTGAGCTTCTGCTTGGCTCAAGACATCTTGCAAGCACTCTTCTCTAGCTCTTTTTTCTTGGGCTCTTCTGTGCCCCTCTCAGATGCTCTGCAGGAGTTAGAGCCTGTGTCAGGAAGTTCTGTCAAGGACAAATTTGCAACATGTCACAGAAAACCCATTGTTAACATTAGACCCACCACTGCTAGGGTTACCAGATGGTTTCAAAAAAATACCGGACACACTTGATCTCAGATGGGGGCTGCCCGGGGGAAATCCAGGGGGGCTGGCCAGCAGGAAGCCGAGCTAACTGGGAGGGGGCTGGCTAGTGGGAGAGCCGCAGTGAGGAACCGGACGGCAGGGAGTGGGGCTGGCTTGGGTGCATGTAGATTCCAGGGTGCTGCCTGTCCCCCCACACAGTCTGGGGATTACATCTCTTCTCTCCTCTCTTCCCGCCCCCGCCCTCCCCACTGTGTAGTTGCATACTGCCTGGCTGGTAGACATGCTCACGCAGTGAGAGAGTCTTCCAGCCAGGCAGTATGGAACTAGGTACTGATACTCATGATCAGGGCTTGACAAAACTTGGTGAAATCTACTTGCCAGCCCCACACTGTGCATGCGCCAGACCTGCGTTGTGCATGTGTGCGCCACCGGTGAACAGGGGGGACCGGCTGAAATCTACTTGCCATGGGCAAGTAGATTCACTGATTGTCAAGCCCTGCTCATGATGATGATAAAAATTACTTAGAAAATACCAGCCAGGGGGAGAGGTGGGTGCTTGGCTCTGGGGAAGGGGAGGGGGACTAGGTTACAGCAGGCTGCTCTTCCCCTCCCCTAAACAGCTGGCTCGCTTGCTGAAATTCTGGGTCTTTCCCCTCCCCTAAACAGCTGGCTTGCTTGCTGAAATTCTGGGTCTCTCATGGCCAGGGACTTCCCCCTGCTGCCTGCCTGAGGATGGAGTAGGAATCCTGGGACTGCATGCCAGCTCCAACTTCTCAGGAAGCATGCGGCTGTCATGGGGAGCAGAGGAAGAGCACGCGCTTCCTGAGAAGTTGCAGCTGGCATGCAGTCCTGGGACCCACACCCACACACTGCACAGGCAGCAGGGGAGGAAGGAAGTCCCTGGTGGAGTGACAGATGAGGCATTTCAGGAAGTGCACCAGCTGTTTAGGGGAGTGGAAGAGCAGCCCCTGTGCTTCCTGAGACCCAAATCCCCAGGTACTGGCCCCAGTGGTCTCTGTCCTTTTCCCCCTGGCCAGACCCACCACCTTCCTCTTTCCCCCCACACACGAGTACCTTGCCCCAGCACCCTGTTCGCTGCTCCTACCAGCACAATTAAGGCCACATTAGTGAGGCTTGGCGGATTTTGGAGAGATTGTTGTGGGATGGGTGTGGTGTGTGGTTTTTTTTTGGTGCATCTCACTTGTGAGGCCCCGACTGACTCTTCTGCGGGTCAGTGATCCCTGCCCCTCTCATAAATAAGGACAACGCTGAAACATTTTGTTTGACATATTTTATTTAAAAATGAAGCCTGGCCAACAAGCCCCCATCTGGCTGCAGCATCATAACACTCCTACACACCCCCTGTCCTGTGCCTCATCCCCAAACTTACACCCTCACATCCCCAGTCTTCTGCCACAACACTCCTGCACCATCCACACACTGCAAATGTGTCCTGAGCCCATCATACTCCCTGCCCTGAGCCCCTCGTGCACCTCAGCCCGAACTTCTACATCCTCACAGCCACAAGCTTGCAGCTTGCTCAGCATCCCAATCCTCCACCTGACCCCAACCCTCTCCAGCCTGGAGTTTCCTCCCTGAGCCAGCATCCTCTTCTCTACTTTCTTCTGCACCCAAATTCCCTCCCAGAGATTGCACCTCACCACTTCCCACTGCTTTTTGTTTGTTTTT